ATGGTTCTATGCTCACTCAGAGCCTTCAACTCATCGGTAAGCACAGACTTGACAGTGCTTATTTTCAACACATACGGCTTGAAAGCTGCACCGATGGTGGCAATTTAAGTGCGCTGCAAGACGCGGGGCAGGTAGCTTGAGTCAAAGGCTCAGTCAAAGAAGCCAGATCTGGCGATAAAAAACGATTATTTCACAATGAGCCGCATTGAAGAAATCTGCAGAGCTAAGATTAGATTGAACGTCACACGACTGAGAATAAAAAAATGTGTAAAAAAATTGATTTTTAAAAATTCGCTTATTTATATAAATTTATTTATTACGTTTTGAGCCCTTCAATCTACCACCACCATATAAAAATTGCCTGAAATGGCAATTTTACTTGCTCTTTGCACAAAATTAGTTCCTCCTTCTAGAAGTTCCCGGGTTTTTTCTCTCTTATTTCTGCCCGAACACTTCCAAGGTCGGATTGCCTAGTTGTCAAGGGGCGTACCTTCTCCCCCGTTACCGAATGTTTCGCTTACAAACTCACAACTCCTCTCTGATCGTAACAAAGTGCAATAATTTGAAGGATAACGTTTTATGAAGGTGAAAGAAGATTCTCAAAAAGTTCGCCTTCAAACGATCGTATAGGCCAAAATCCTACCGGGAAGTTCGAATAGTTACATATCCGCTCCCTGCGTGTGAAAATGATTGGGTGGGGTGCGGAGATCAAATCGTTGTAAGTTATAGGAATCAATGCCATCGAGAGAGCTGTATATCATTTTGGTGCAATGTGAGGCAAGATCAATGATTAAGAGTGATTAGTTACCTTCAAATTGTATTGCATTTATCCTACATTTCATTCCAGTTCGAAAAAACAAAAACTGTTGAGTTGTCACCAAAACTGGCGAATATGTTGGTTTAATCGTAACATGGGCTGAGAAACAAGTTTCAACCACGAAGTTAGAACTTTTCAATGTAGCAACTATCTTAATAATCAGTTTTTCTCCATTTAGTGTTCTGTGACGTCCGGAATAATGTTCTAACTAGTATAATCGCGGAACCCGGGCTAAAAGCATTTGCATTTTTTTACTCTTTGCGATGAATTATTATTCCACGTGGAGACTTTGCACGAAACAGTTTCATTGTTGCATGTGAGAGTGCTTCATGAGATGCGTCCTTCGTATTTATTATAACTTTTTCCGACGTAGGAAGAAGTAGAGAAATAGATTTGAAAAATTGTATTTCCTTCGGAAAATACACTCAAAGAGGAAATCTGCCGGCTTGTGACGCTACCAGGCGGTATTTCCCATTCAAACGCATGTATTTTGGCAGATCAGGACAATTATTGGTCATTATCTCTTCTAAAAATTCTTCTTTTTAGAAATCGAGGATGTTCTTATGCCCAGTTCACTCACTGTAGTTTCTTCTTAAACACGAAATTCATAAAATTTCAAACACCTGAAAATTCTCCATTGAACCTAGCATCGTTAAAAAGGTCTAATAACTTATTAAAAAGCTCTGTCATGCATTTGTCCTTAAATTCGCTGCCTTTTCCCTTAAAATCTCTGCCTTTTTTCTGAAAAAATAATACTGCTGTGAAACAATAATTCATTTTCCTGCAAATCATTGGTGAACCTCCATAGTCTTAGCCACATTGCAAGCCATGTATGAGGGGCTTGGAGGACAAGGCGCGTAAGTGCAGTTTTTTAACAAAAAATTGAGATATTAATGATTTCAAGTAAAACCAGTCTTAATGCATATTGTGTGAAATATTCTCTACCAGATTCCAATTTTGAAGCATCAAAAAATTAGTTTGAACTTTCTTCCCGCCATAAGGATCCATGTAATTTCGAAACTTCAAACACGTATTTCTCGAAATAGCAAAAACTGCACTGGTGCGCCTTGTCCTCTACACTGAAAAAAAATTCTCGGCGTTTTTACCAGGGTCCGTTAGTACCTTTACCATCTCACTTTTTTTACCAATTATTGGTAATTTTACCAAAACAGACTGGTAAGCTTACCTAAAAATCGGTATCTTTACTGTTTTTTTTCAGGTAAAAATACCACTTTTATTGGTAATCAATTCCCGGTAACTTTGCCATTTTATCTTGGAAATTTTACCACAGTCGATAAAAAATATTGGCGTTTTTACCAAGGTCCAGTAAAATTACCGAGAAAGGTCAATATCTCGGTAAAATTACCAATTCCATAGATGGTAATTTTACCAAGAAAAAACTGGGATCAAATAGAATCCTGAATTCTTGGTAATTTTACCCTTTTCTTGGTAAATACACCGATATTTTTTTAGCCCAGTGTAAGCCCCTCATATGAATTACATTTTGCAATAAGGAACCACTATCTTTGGCTCTCCCATAAAAGCACATATCCACATAGGAAAACCAATGGCATGTATATGTTGTTTCTAAAATGGGCCAGAAATAGTGGTTCCCTATTGCAAAATGTAATCCATATGACCTTTCACCGCACTCGTCCTCGATCGTACGAATACTCGGAATAGTTGGGACGATTTGGCAAGGGTGGTTGGCCCTCGGCGTTAAAAGCTGCCTCCGCGCTTCTCCGTAGGCGAAGACAGGAGACGCGGCGCAATGCACGGGCATCATTTTTTACGTTGCAACGATAATTAATCACAATTACGGATCGGCCGTTGTGAGTTCGCGGGTCGCGCCGAACCACATGAGCGTTTAGCGCACCGAGCAGTGAGCACCGCGCACCGGTCTTGTCGTCACCGTATTAATAGATGGGCCACGCCGGAAAAGTTTCGCTTTCTCCTGCCTATTTAACTTGCGGGGCAACTTCAACTTCGAGCCGCTTGACGGAAAGGCTGCGGAGCTGTTTATGTATACATTGTACACCTGATGTGTCCGTATCTTGCCTCTTCAGAAAAGCTCGCTTTTACGGCTGAACACGAAAGCATCGCGGAGAAGTAGGCAAATGTGGTCATTAACTTTCAAGGAGTGTATTGAGGGGAACACATCGCAGTTTTTCAAAAAGGATGGCAAACTACGTACAGTAGACCGTGGATTATCCGGCTTCGTATTATCCGGACTCTGGATTATCCGGATCGATTTTGCAACCATGTAACTACGTACGCATTCCGATAAGTGAGCGGATCCGCGGAGAAGCGGTCGCAAGGCATATTGGCGCCTGCAAGGCTGAAGGAATACTTCACACATTCCGCCAAACAATGAGGTTGGCGTGGAATGCATTAGCGCCTATTTGATTGCATAAATACTTCTCGCATTACGCCAAACGCAGTGCAGTCGGTTAGTTAGCCTAAAACGCACATTAGCGGCTACAAGACTGCATGAATACTTCACGCATTGCACGCTTTAATCGTTGTATTGTAAATCGTTGTCGGCTACCGTTCACAATCACCATTGAGTCGTTCAGTTTGGCGTTAACCTTTTAAATTCGTGTTGGCATGTACAATTGTACATGATGTATACATAATAAGAATAATGTGGTGTTGGTTGGTGGTGTTTGTGTTTACTATTATTATCCGGATTTTTTTTTTCATCCGGATCGTGCCCGGCACCAATTAATCCGGATAATCCAGAGTCTACTGTATTTGCTGGACAAGTAGTGGCGACGAGGCAGTAGAAAAAGTCGAAAAAAATAATTTGTTTTCAATGTCAGAATTTTGAGTTTGTGGCGCTGCTGCACCTTTGCACAGGCCCGTTTAGTGAAATATTTGACAAAGAGTTTACATAGAGAGTAATTTGAAAATATGAGACATTCAGCACAATCCAAACGGGGTTGGAAAAGGCTCTAAATGATACTCCTCTTTTGTTTGAAACATCCTTTTCCTAGCGAAAAATAAAGCACGCCAAAAAATTCTGAAAATTGTCAATCACATATGCAGATTTTGAGTCTCAGCTTTTGAGGAGGCTACGGTTGTAAGGGAAAAAGAATATATATTGGGCCTCTTCTGCCCGCAGGGGTATTGCAAAAGTACACGTTGCTGATAAGTATCATGATGGCGCGTTCCGTGGACCGTTAAAATTTTTGTCGATGGTATTCTGTGTGATAGTATTCTCTTTTGTGTGATATCTCTTGCATGGTCAACGTAAGTTACATAAAGACACCCAGAATAATTTCAATTTTTATGTTTAAAATAAAAAAAAAATATTTTAAGGTACCCATACCGTTCAAGAATAAATCAACCCTTTTTAATTCCACAATCCATGCAGAAATGTTGGTTTATTCTGTACTGTTTACTTGTTGGTTATTCTGACACAGAGAAAAAAGAAGACGTCATGAACCACCAGAACCATCGCCGCGTTTGGAATGCCATTAGTCGATAGAAAAACAAAAACTTGCGGTTTATTATCCATCATATTTTGACGTGAGAACAATTTTACGGATATTTTCGTTACATTTTAAATAAAATTGAGATACTACGATAAAGTACCATTATAATTTTCCAAAGATGGAACCAAAATCCCGAAATCACCATAAAAAAGTACCAAGTTTTTACTCAATCTCTTTAGTGTATAATTGTTTTACACAGTGCTAGTGCACTACACGTGGCTTAACAGTTGCCAACATATGTATAAAGTAAATCAAAGTTGGTTTGTAAATTTCTCTGATTTGACTGAGTATTTCTACAGTTTAGTGGCAAAAAAAGTCTAAGTTATAGGATGATGTCGGCGGCAAGTCAAGAAAGGGTGAAACATGAACCGCTAGTACGTCATTTTGATCAGAACTTGCTGATGAATATCAGCACGAATCAGTGAAAAGAAAGTGAGACAAATTCATGTTAGAAGAGAATGGACGAGTGCAGAACCACCCTTAAAAGGAAAAAAGTATACAAAGTTGCGTTCTCAGGGTCGGACTGACAATGCAAGCAACAATCCATGCCTTTGCCCAGGGATAGAATTTTAAATTACTACGGATAAAAAACAGAGCACTCTTAATTCAGACCCACCATGCACTCAAAATGACCAAACTCTTAAAAAATTAAATTTCTAACCTGATCTAAAAAAAGTTTTGCATACCTTCAGCCGTAACTACTGGCACTCCTGCAACATGGAAAAATACGTTTGGATGTACCTGACGGTTATAACAATGGCATGTTTTGAATTAGGTGAAAAATCTCAACTTAAAAATACAAATAAATTTCATGAAAATCTCTTAACTTGTTTGAGAATCTCATCATTCGAACATGGTTCTGCAAAGTAGCCAAATAGAAAACTACTTCCAGTCTTTATAAGAAAATTGGAAAATTAAATGTCAGTCCGACCCTGTAGGTAATATCTACTTTTGGAAATTTTTTTCTTGATGGGATCTTTTGGAAGAAGATGGCTCGGCTAAATCAGAAAATTACACAACTGTAAAATCTATCGAAAAAGTGATTGAGAAAATTATTTAAATACAGTTTCATTGTCATAAATTGAGAAAAGACAAGCGAAACACGTGATTTTTATGAGTGTACGAACTAACATCTCTACACTTGCTCGAACTTCCTTAATAGTCCTTAAACGATTCGAGTAGCATGTCAAATTTCAGTAGACCTTTTTCGTTTAAAACCACCCGATTAATAATTAAAAATTAAGAAAGAAAGCAGCAATAGAAAAGTAATTGCTGCGTATTTAATCACCATGTAGCATTATTAGTCGTTCTATGATCAAAATCATGTAGGTACTCGTGTTACGCAGCCGTCCTAAGGAATGAAAACGTATGTGCATCTGAAATTTGCCACATTTCCACAGATAAAATATTTGATTTTGATAATGCAGACATTTCCTCTTGAACTTTTTAGCACCCTGTTTGTAAAAATCTCTAACATTTCAGAAAAAAACTCTAGCAAGTTTTTAGAAGAAATGTGATAAGTTTGGAGCTCATATCGTCATTTCCCTCCCAAATTTCTTCACGCAAATTGCAGAGTAACCAGGAGCATATTGGGCATCTCTAACTGAAAATTTCCCCTCAGATTTCATGCAAAAATCAAACAAAATTTGGAAGTAGATTGCACAATTAAGTACATTTTTGTTAAATAAATTGATTGTCCGATTCAATTTAAGAACTTTCGGAATGGAGTTATGTACTTTCGTGCGAGAAACGACGATATGGGGTTTTTCCTTAGGGTGTCAGTGCCATGCTCTTCCTTCGTTCGCGCAACATTGAAATAAAAAACGATAAATCACGCCGGGAAGGTTACGTTCCCTAAAGGAAGTAGGCTAATTCTTGGCTAATTTTATCAGTTTTGACTCTTTTCCTACCTTGGTTTTCATTCAGGAGAGCGGGACCCTAAGCTCTTTGATAAATACCTACGGTGCAAGCGCATCCTAACTTTTGAGTCAGAAATAAAAAAAAAATTAAAAGAAGGAAATTAAAAATACTAAAAGAGGGGGAGAGAGTGGAGACCTGAACCGAAAGATCCCAGAAAAAATAGTAATAATTCATTGACTAGCGGCTTTCATGCACTTTTAGTACAGCGTAACAAAAATTAATTTATTCTCGTGGTCTAAATTTAAATTCTCTCTTCTGCTGTCATTTTGTTCCCATGTCGCCCCGGATAAAGCGGCTTCTCTTTTGATTCGAGTTCGGCCCAATCTTACGAGTTGATCATAAGACGAGCTTGCTTCACTCCTTTTCTTTTACAAATGAATCTTTTCTTCTTCAGAGATTTCAGTCTCCGTTTCAATTTTTTTTCGAAGCGATGGCTCTGTCAAAAGTTATCTCACGTCCAAGCTAACTACAATGGCTACCGTTTTTGTACGGGCGAGATATTGTCCTTCCTATGAAAATTATTGTCTAACTTTTGTAAAAGTCCGTAATAAATCGAGGCATCCTTCATGAAAGTTCGTGAACATATAAATTGAAGTATAAAGAACCAGGAAAGAAAAATTGAGAAAAATTTAACTTGCAACACGTTCTTGCTGTTTTTTTCTACAAATATATCTCCTTCATTTCATCATCTTATTGACATTTGTTTAAAAAAATGATGAATTTTATAATTAAAACCGTCTCAAGATACGCCATGTTGGGATGAACTTCTCAACAACACCTGGTGTTTCTCACGCAGTGAGTCATTTTGACAAAATTATTGAACAAATGGAAAAATCCACTTCAAGCGGCTTATACTTCAAAATACTTAAGTTTTGACAAAAGCGATCAAAAATATTTAAGTCATCAAAGTTTTCAAAAAGAGAATCAACCTCGTTCTTATTTTCAACCGGTCCTATGAAATATAAAATTCAAATAAATAAATACACTTCTGAGAATTGGAGTGACCGTGAGATCGTGAGAAGGACACAGATTCCGTTCTAAAATTGAAGCGAGCCTTACGATTTGATTACGAGGAACATACAACTATTTATACTCTTGGGATGATTTTTTGCCTATCTAAAAAAATGAAGGCGAACCGCTTTCAATGCTTCTGAGACAATCACGAGGCGTAATTGTGTTGTATCGTTATATTTTTACTCTCGTCTTATCATTGTTTTCCCGATGTATTGATTATAACTGATAAACCACCTTTGTTTTACAATTTGAAATATCATGAAAAATTTGATTTTTGAAATTAATTTCAATTTTTTAAGTTGAAAAATTATGAAAATTAGGACATCTTAATATAGACGATAATCTCTCTTGGGTTTCAAATTCGACCATTCCACATCCTAACTAGAGGGATATTTCAGTGGAGGCATATTCTCATACACAGGGATGGTGATGGGATGGGGGATGGTTTTCTGCGTGGTTGAGGGAGGCGTAGCCCCCGGAAGAGGGGAGGGGGAGGTGCTGCGCGTGCTCACCACGCAAAGGTGAACTGTAGCCAGTGAACACGAAATAATTATGTTAAACATCGTTCCGCAAGTTCCCGGTGAGGAGAAAAGACAGGGCAGGGGGGTTGGAGGGGGCGGAGCAGGGGAGGATCGGGGTGAATTTACGAGACGAAACCGGGCAAATACGAGTGTGGATAAGGATGTGAATATTCTGTGGCGTTGCCAAGCTGTCGGAAAAAGTGAAAAAAATAATGAGATTTTATACAGCGAAAAAAGAGGGAATTGATGAAGAAGAGGCGAAAGAGAATGAGGAGATGGAGAGAAAAGAAAGGGAGGAGGAAGCAGAGAAAGGAGGAGGAGCAGAGGGGAATAATGCAATTACTGATTTTGAATGAGTTTGGGAATCAGAAACCTGCATTAACCCTAAAAATGTATTTTTTGTCTATTTCTTTGCATGTTTCTTATAACAATCACAAATGAGTGCTGCGCATTGTGATACGCATCATCTCAGTATCTTAAAAACAATTTTTTGTTCCTTTTTGCTCTTGAAAGCTTCATTTTTCAAAGTTTGTTCGAATATGAGGTGGAAAATTCTTGGAGTAATTTTGACCGTATTAGACGTGTCGTCAGTTCAGTTGGCACTTGTTTCCATTTCGCTTGCGAGTGATCGCGATGCAATCGTCCAATAGCAATCGAGGATTGACCGCGGCCCAATCGTGAGCGTAGTCAATCCTCAACCCTTATTGGACGACTACATCGCGGTCACTTGCAAGCGAAATAGAAAAAAAGTGCCAACTTAGCTGACGATACCTCTATGATCATAGTGGCACGGCTAAGAGGAAGGAGGGGGGTCCGGGGGATCTGGACCCTTCCCATGCCCGATAAATCACGTTACGTGGTTTTTAGGAGTTTTTTACTTTTGAATCCCATTCACCTTCTACCTGAAAAATTTCAGGCTACGCCACTTGTGGGTTTCACTTACTTTAGCTGCCACTACCGCACTGTAACTATCAATTTTCAGTCTTGCATTTTCTGCCGTGCTAAGGAAAAACGCCGTATGAGCCTTCAGGCGATGCCAAATTTCCTTTGACAAATCACTAATTTTCAAGAAAATTTGTGTATATTTTCCTGCCAAATCTCAGGTAATTTTGCTTGAAATTTGATCTAAAAAGTCTGAAAATTTCAAAGACAAATATCGACAATTTTCCTCAAAAATAAACATTTTATCGGTGAAAAAACTCTCGAATGTTCATACGGCGTTCTTCCTTATCACGGCAGTTTTACTGTGTGCTCATTTTAACGTTACGAAGGAAACGAACTATCGGGTTTTCGGAAGAGTTCGGCAACAGGGAGCGGTCTTCCCGTTCCGGAGTGGATGTCGAGTACGAGGCTCTTAGTCTGTCAATTTGAGCATTAGCCCGATCGCTTCCCGGTTTTTGAGTGACTCGAACACAAGTTATGTTTTTGATGCCGGCAAAACGGGCTTCGAGCCCTAATTGGAGGAGACAACGTTTGTCACACGGCGACCGGCAATTGCCTCGGAAACGCGCCCGCGCTCTCGGCCTCCAGCGGACGTCCTCCCCGACTTTAAGCGTCCTGAACAGGAGGAAAGCTGCCAAATGGAACGGGGAATTCACCCATTTTGAAACGCCCTCAAATTGAATTGAGCTCTTGCATGCGAGAGAGATTCGCGATTAAAATATTTATTCCTCGGTAAAATTTTACGAAAAACAAGATGGTGCCACTGGTTCTCTCTGAAGTCATCTCCCAAGCTCAAAAAAAGCTCTCAAAGTGAGGCCAAAATGGAGAGGATATCCTGCCCTACCCTGAGAGTCCACCTCTACATAAGCAAAAACCCTCCATCATGCAAAGATAGGGAGCAAATACATTAGCAGGGTTGCCGTGTTTTCAGTTTTGGAGTCCCCAAATAAAGTGGCAACCCTGCTAATGTATTTGCTCCCTATCTTTGCATGGAGAGTTTGTTTTGATGTAGAGGTGGACTATCAGGATAGCGTGGGATATCCCCTCCATTTTGGCCTCACTTTGAGAGCTTTTTTTGAGATTGGGAGATGATTTCAGAGAAAACCAGTGGCAGCATCGTGTTTCTCGCGAACTTTTACATAAGAAACAACAGTCAAATTTCAAATCCCTCACACATGCAACATCTCCATTGAATGGAGCTCTTGCATGCGCGAGGGATTCGCCATTTAATTACCGACTCCTTGGTAAAATTTCGCGAAAAACACGATGGTGCGCCTGGTTCTCTCTAAAATTAACTGCAAAGCTCAAAGGAA